ACCACGCCCCCCCAGCTTGGGCCCGCCCCCGCGGGCCCTGCCACGACCTGTCTGGCTGCTGGCACAGCTCCAGGCAGCTCCCGGGGCTCCCGTGCCCTTTGGATCCTCACTGACAGCAGGGCTGGACTTTGAAGCCCTTCCCCACGGTGGACAGCCACCCCCAGCCTGATGGGTGTCCCTGACTGGTGACCCTGGGACATCTCGACCCTGGCTTCTGCCCCCAGCTGTCCCTGTCCCCAGGGCTGCAGCCTTTGAGCCACCCTGCCAGCCCTGCCGGGGTCCCAGGTCCCCATACCAAGAGATCCCAGCCCTACCTGGTCCCCCTCAGACTTGTGACCCCAGGATCCCAAGCAGGAGAGGTGCAGGCAGGGCAGGGTGGCTGCCACGTGTTGCCATGCAATGTGTCCCCTTTGTCCCCATGAAGCTGTTGGCAGCCACAGGGGCTGGCTGGGCCCTTGCGAAACCAAGTCCCTGAGGGATAGAGGAGCACCACAAAGTGCTGCCTGACCATACGGGGCAGGGGACAGTGCTCACAGCCCCAGGGCCACACCAACCCCAGCTCCCTGGGGGTGCAGCCACACCCTCTGACCTTAGCAGGCAGTGAAGTCCAGAGAAGTGGGAGAAAAACACCCCATCAACTCCAGCTCTGCCACCTCTTCATTTTCCCTGCACCCATTTTGCCCCTGCCCAATGCCAGGAGGTGCCCGGAGCCCTGGGAAAGCTCTGTGGTGTGCAGGAAGGGCTGTCCCCAAGCTGGGGAACCACGCCAAGACTGGCACACAGTCCCAAACAGCTCTGGAACCCACTCACTGCCCTTGCCCCCAGGGCTGTGCTCCCCAGCCCGGTGAGGTGTCTGGTTTCGGGTGCTCTCACACTTGCTCAGTTCCTGCTCCATGACAGCAGGGAGGTGTGGTTGGCAGGCAGGATGGCACAGCCATCATCCCCTGGAGCAGTCCCCACCTCTCTCCCCGGAGCTGAACCATGTCCCCAGAGCCAGTGTTTGGGTCCCAGCCCCTAAAGAGTCACCCCCAGAGCCAAGGGTGACCCTGGGAGTGGCCCAGCCACAGCCACCTGTGGGTCCCTGGGGACCCCAAGCCCGGTGGGAGCAGCTGCACCAACATCCTCACTGGGATCAGCCCTTGGTGGCTCATTTATTGCCCTGAAGATCCCCCAGAGCATCTGCTGGAGATGAAGGTCTAAAATCCCCCAACGGAAATTGTGCAATACCAGACTTGGGGGAGAAAATCCTCATAATCCAGGCAAATCCTGCTCTTTCTACTTCTCCTACTTCACATGTAGGGCAGGGTTACACCTACCTGCGGTTGTTCTGCACAATCTCCAGCACAAAGGGCGGCTCATTGTTCCCCTAAAACCGTTTGCCCAGGAGGTAAGACAGGAATGCCAAAAGCATCAGGAGCTGAGGAGCCCCTGGGACAAAGGGAGTAGAGCAACAGTGCCAGGGCCAAACACAACAGGGAGCTGAGGACAAGATTTTCCCGTCTTGGGGGGCTGGCAAGTGCCACTATGGGGGTCCCCTCTGCTCTGCTTTCCCTGTGCTGAAGGAAACACCAAGTCTGAATGATGTTGACCCAAACTTTCCTCCCTTGCAGATCCCTGCTCACGTGTCAGGGGGACAGAGCACTTTGGGGTACCCAAATCTGTGCTTTGGGGGTGGCCCAGGCTTGGGCTCAGGCAGTGACACAGTCTTGTGTGGATGTCCCCAGTGGCTACACTGATGCTGCCTGGAGATGTGGTCACCCCCAGCAGGGCACACTGCTCTGAACCTGCCCCTGGAGCCAGCAGTGAGCCACCCACAGCCACACAGCAAGGCCACAGCCTCCTCTTGGCCACCTGGCACAGCACAGACCCCAAGACCCCTGGAACCCCAAAGCCAAGACCCCTTAAGCTGTTTGTGCTGTTCATTTCAGGGCCATGATCATTGTCCCAGTCTCCCAAGCTCTGAAGCACAGGGAGGGCAGAGCCCGGCCAACTCGTTACACAAATGTGCCGGCAGACATACAAGCCCATCTCTGACATGATGCCCCTTTCTTCCTGGGGCACCCAGGAGGGCTTCCAGCTCTCAGCAGGGTGTCTGCTGGGGCTTCCTGGTGCCACCAGAGCCAGCAGGGCCAGGAGCCCGAGGCAGGTCGTTGCCAAACCGGCTGAGCGGGTGGCACTGCCTGCCCATACATCATCACCAAACAAATTGGGACAGCTTGAAGCCTGGCATGCCCCCCCCCCTCCCTGGTGGGGGACCTCCCAGAGTACCCAGGGGCTGTGACATGTGGCAGTGCCCGGGAAACCCACCGCAGACGTTGTGCAAGGGGCTGGAAACCCTGAGTCAACAGTGACACCCGCTCAGCGCTCCTGAAACAGGGAAGTGTCCAGAGCTGCTGTGCCACTGCTGTGTCACCACTGCCACCCCTGTGCCACTGCTCCACGCCAGGAGACACCTGCACCACTTGTCCCCAGTGCCCACCCAGGTTCTGCTGCATCCCGGGTCCCTGCTCATCCTCCCTGCCTGTCCCTGTCCCCATGTAAGGGCAGCTCCAAGTCCAGCTCCAGGTGGCAACCAGGCAGTGGCACTGGGTGCCACGCTGGCCCCGCTAGGCAGCCCCATCTCGTGGCACATCTCAAGGCCATCAACAAGCCTGGTGGCCTGAGCTGAGTGGAGTTGGTGGCTGTCACTGTGGTGGGGGCAGAAAGGGGAGGGATGAAGGGCTGGGATGGAGAGAAGATATGGAGTGGGATGGTGAGAGATGGGGGAATTGAGGGATGGGAATGGAGGGAAGGGATGGACTGGGAGGGGATGAGGGTTGGGAATGGAGGGGGAATTGTGGGATGGGGATGAGGGATGAAGGTTTGTGGGATGAGGGGTTGGGGAGGGAGGGAGGGATGGAGGAAGGATGGAGTGTGGGGATGATGGATGGGGTGGAGGGTTGAGGGAATGGAGGGATGAGGAACGGGAGAGGATAATGATGATAAGAGGACGAAGGCTGGGGATGGAGGGATGAGAACTGGAGGAAGAGCAGAACCGGAGAGGGAGGCCGGCGGGAAGGGGCTGGGGGCTGCAGGAAGGGCCGGGGCAAGAGGA